TACGCCATTTGAAAAATATGCTGCATGGTAAAAAAAAAATAGATAAGTACAATAATTATTAGTCAGAGGGAGAATTATTGTTTTGTCCTTGGTTTGATTCAACAGTTCTATAATTCCCTTGTATACCTGTATGTGAGTTGTGGGGAACACGGTGGCCAGATGGTATAAATCTATATGTTTAGAAGATACAGGTTCATTGACCATGCTTTCTGTTGTACATGTACTTCAGTATTGTTAAGTCCAAGTTACATAACTTTACTCAGTAAAGTGAAAATGTTAAGTCCTGAATTCATTTAATTTATATTGGAAATAATTTTTGTTCACAATAAAACTTTTAATTCAAATCAATTTAAGTCTATGATAAATAAAGACATTCAAAGGATATTATTGCATTGCTAATTGGATTAATGAGAAATTAATGTTGTTTTTTTTTTCAGAGACCATTAATTTTATAATGTCAGAATGAATTGATAGTACTTAATATAATCATAAATGTCATGATTTAAAAAAAAAAAATTTTAAGATGGCTCTAATTGTGGCATATTCCTTGATCTTGAAGTCTGGTATTACCCTGTCAGTCTGGGTTTAAAAATTGTCATGGACGTGCATTTTTATACACAGCTGGAAATCCTGCTCAAAGCTGAAACACCTTTGTGAATTATTTTGTAATATTGGACCCTGCTGTTCCTTCTTTTATATGTTAAGATGTCATGTCTGTTTTGATATTGATGATAAATATCACAATAGCTTAACTGTGGATTTTTATAATACTCAAATGACAGCCTATGTTTTTCTTTGAGGTTATTTCAGGGATTAGATTTAATGTCATTGTTATGAAAGATGAGGTCCCAATACAAAGTTTACGTTTGCGCCATGCAGCGATTGTGTTCGTCTTGATAACCGTCCATTGAAACCGTCTTCAGTAAAAATTAATTTTCCCATTGCATTAGAGATATTTTTTTGGGGTAGTATTTTGTCTAGTGGGAAGCTTTTTTGATGAAATTCCCAAACAACTCATTTGGTCAGTTGGTATGCCAAATATTTATCAGTTATGAAGACATGGGTATTTTTGTGTTTGAATAACAGCAAATTTGGTAAAACGTATCGCAATTTTGTGACAATTACATTGTCGTTTATCAGTCAGCTAAAAAACTTTGATCACATGAGAAATTCAGACTGGTTGCTTTGTTAAGTTCTTGTTTTTGTTTATGTCTGTAATCAAATGTTAAATTAGAGTTTGATATTCTTTTCTGATACGCAACTTTTATTAACCCATGTAGATAATATAAAATTGTTAAAGAGACAAACTTTGTCCTATTATATAAGGTAAAAAAATAACCGAACATTATCTTATCTGTTGTAACTGAATAATAGACATTCCCACCATTTTGTAATGTTATATAGCATTTTCTTTAAGTTCTAAGACCACATAACCTGATATTTATCTTTACATCTGGCAAAAACGTACTTTTCCCATTTCAAACAACTATAAAATTACTTTTTTATGGCATAAGTTAAAAGAAACGAGAGAATACCTACAACAGAGTTCAAGTCCTTTCAACTCAGTCACAAGTACTTTTACATAAAGTAGAGCACAATTCTTTATTTGTAATGGTCCATATCGTACTGTTAATTTGTTAATTAGTAGCTCATTAGCTGATTGAAGCTTAGCCATTAATTGGTTAATTAGTAAATATTGGAGCTGTGTGTAGTGATCCAGTAGAAAATGAGCTTGTTGAAAGTGCTCCAGAAGTTACCGGAATCAGTGTTTTCTATAATGTCAGAAAGGCGCAAGTTTCCGAAAAAAAGGAAAAAATGTAATTATCTACAAGTATTGGCTCGTGTCATAAAGTCATTTAGGTAATAACCGCCAATTAGTGTTATGTATTTGTTCAAGAAATTGTTGTGTTAACTTAGTGAGTAATATAATTTGATAATATATATAAAGTGATACGTACAACCAAATGAATCAACATTCCAAGATCTGACATCGTAAAATTGTTGGCTGTGAATTTATATTCCTCGCTTTGTGTAAGATTGATGAATTTAAATGTTATTTAAGCTATAATAATATGCCAAGTAGTTTAATAAGAATATCTTCCCTGGGTGTCCATCTCCCACCCCATTATTCTCCTATACCTTTTCCCCCCCAACTCCCTTTTCTGATCCCCCAATTTCCCATCATCCCCCCCCCCATAAATCCCCCCAAAAAATTTATCTTTCCCAACTCTTTGGGTTTAATAGCTGAAAACCCTTTTTCCCAAAGCAAATTTTTAAGTTAAATTTTAAAATTTACATGTCTTCCCATAAAATTTCTACTTTATTTAAATTAATTTTTTAAAAAAATTTTTTTTTTTCCCCCCCTAATCTTGACAAGATAAGGGAAAAAATTTTAAATTGGGAATTTTCTAGGGAAATTTCCCTTTCACGATAAAACCCACTGTACTTTTTTTAATTTCTCGGGATTTTTTACAAAATTTTTTTATAACCCTGTTTATAATAAAAAATTTTCGGGAAAAGTTTTTTTGACGGGGAATGAAAACCCAATAAAAAAAAATTTTTCGGGCGATTTAAATTTGGGAATTTTGAAAAAAACGGGCAAAAAACATGATTTTTTTAAGAAAATTATAAAAAAAGCCTTAAAACAATAAATAATTATTATAGTGGTAATTTAACAGGAAGATGTAACCGACGTTAATGAAAACAACATTATTATTGAGTTCAAAACCATAATAATGGTGTGCATATTACTAAGGATTTGATGTATATTGTATTTAGTGCTTCGTCTAAAACAATCATGGTCGATATAAAAATGAATGTTCCACTGAATAATTTGCACCGAGAAAAATGAATTTAATTGCAAAAAAAACTTAAGTCAAGTGAAGTTAACAGAAAACATAAGTATTTAACGAAGAGTTCAGATTTTTGCTCTGAAATTAATAATTATATTCATGAAATACAAAGTACAATATTTGAGATTTTAACAGTTCTTAATCAATGAAGCTGTGAAGCAGTTAACTAAATTCATTTGAAGGTTATAATTTAATCGAGGTTTTAACTTAAAAAGGTATTGATTTTGGTTATAATGATTTGGTTAAAAGCAATATGTTTTCGGGGTTATAAGCTGTTTTTGTTGTGGGGTGTTTTTTTTGGGGTTGTTGGGGAAAATTAAATTAAAAAAATTTTCCCCTTAAAAGAAATTTTTGAGTACAAATATTAATAGAGATTTTCCGTTATATTATTTGTGCGTTTTTTTTCCCCCGCTGGGTTTTCGTCTATTATTTGCCGAATGCAGTGGGGGTTTCCAATGACAATGGGGTGATTGTTTTTACGGGGGGTGAGGGGATCCCTCAAATCCTTTTAAATTTTTGGCATTTACTTGACAAAACTGTAGAATGATTTTTTCCATAGTTTTGATGAATGGCACAAAATTCTCTTTTCTTAGAAATTGCATTTTCATTTTGCGCTGGATATTTTTTATGGCTAAAGCAATTTTGCAGCCTTCCCTTATCAGTATGAAAGAGAAATTATTTTGAATTTTTTTTAATGAAAAAGTTCAGTTTTAGCACATCATTTAACTGTTATCTTTATTCTTAAAATTTTTAGTTAGCAATTTCAAATTTGCAGTGAGTGCATCAATTTTTAAGGGCAAAAAATGTTCTCATTTTAAAATCATTTTGATTGAATATTATGACATAAAAGGGCAAAAAAGACATTCAGTTTTAATTAATCATATTCTTAACTTAATTTTAGAATTAAAATAAAAGCATGGTTAGACTAATTAATTTCAAAAGTTTCTGAAAATTCAACTATTTTAGTTCAGAATATACTTGAAAAACTATCCTTTCCAATATATCAGTTTATTTTTGTATTCAATTGAAAATTGATCTTATTATGGTCTTTGGTATAAACTAATCAAAGAAAATTAGAATAGAGAGAATAGTAGGATGAAATTTCATTCTGTCATTCCTCAGGATATTTATGAACTTCCAGAAACACTCATGAAATAATCATTTTCATGGCTGTATCACTATTTGACAGGTGTAGGAATTAGGTCTTCAATAATGATAGATAGTTCCCCCCACTCTCTCTTCTCTGTCTTGTAATTTTGTTTTGTAAACAAAGTTCATGATTGTGAATGATTGACTTATCACATTGTTATATATACACTGATAGATTGATGAACCAACTTTTCTAATACAACTCAGAATGAGAATTTTCTATACATTATGTTGGATCAAAGAGAGATGTGGGGAAAAAAAGGAAAGATTTTGAAGCATGCAGTTTCAGCAGTTACTTAATGTAACAGTGCCTGGAATAATTGTATTTTCAATCATTTTTCTGAAAAAATGAAAAGCAGCAATTACTTTATTAATTAACCCTTGCCATGCTAATTGAATTTGCCTCTCTTTTAATCTGGACAAAACCATTCATCTTTTTTAGGGAAAATTTCTGTTGTGTTCTAGCTAATACTCGATATAGACGGCACAGATGAGTCGGCTGATCATGTACATATATGTTTTACTTGCTTTAAGAAATTCCAACATTTGCTATCTCTGCTGTGTATAGTTAGCTGAAACTTGGAAACAGAATTATTGATGTATCTTGTTTTTACAATACTTTGATACCATGCACTCTGTTTGTTTATAATTATCGCACATTGCATAACAATTAGCCTATTAGGTAATATTCTAATATTTTCAATAAATTCCATCTCCTGTTATGTGTATCTTGCAAAGCTCTGAATGGTAGCAGTGGCCTAGTGGTTAATGTGTCTGCCTCTCACAACCCAGGGATCATGGGTTCAAGACGTAATCGGGTCACGACCATGTTTCTTCATTATGACACAAGTACTTGTTGGTTCCAGGAAGCGGAATTGAAAGTGCTGAATATTAGTTGCAAGAACTGTGTTTGGCAATCAAGCTTGAATAAATTAATGTTTAAACCAAAGCTCTAAAATGATAGACATTAAAATCATTGATTTTTGTTTTCTTTTGCAGTGGAATGAAGTTTCAACATATATCTACCAGATCTCATCTTCTCCAATAAAACTTTACACATCATGTTATGTGAGTAGCCGAGACGTTAATAACTGGCTACGTACACCTTTTATAGACGTGAAAAATGCCAAAAGCCTTTATATAGAAATGATTTTTACAATGCGAAAGTGTGTAAAACATTCAGATCCGAGTATATTACAACAGTGCAAGGAATTATTTACGTTATATTCGTACCAAGCTGATAGAGACATCGCTAACAAAGAAATGCCGTCGTGGGACGACACATCGTACAAGTTAGTTGGTAAAATACCAGCCACTTTCTTGGGCGAAAGTGCTTCAGATATTCTTTTGAATACCCAAGAAAATTTTATATCATTGACTCCTGGATTACGGGGAATTTATTTTTCATTCCAAGACACTGGTGCTTGCGTTTCATTGGTGGCAATAAAAGTGTTTTATAAACAGTGTCCGAATACTATACAGAACTACGCAGAGTTCCCGGCTACGCCAACGGGTAAAGATCACACATCAAGTGTTGAAAGAGAAGGCAAGTGTGTTGAGAATGCTTCGCTACTGAAGAAACCGACATATAGATGTATGAGTGACGGAACTTGGGATATTCCAATCGGTGGTTGCCAGTGCGGCCCTGGATACGAAGGCAGAGATGAAGAAAGATGTGTCCGTAAGTACAGTTTTCATCTTTTTTCCCTCATAAATGAACATAGACTTTGAACATATGTCAATTTTGTATGCAAACTATGATGGATATATTATCCAAGCATTACGTTGGTGGCCTCTTCAATGGTACTTAATCCAGCTAAATGCCAATCAAGATAGGTTGTTTGTACTTCCTCTGACAGGTGCTTTAAAAAGTATGGAGAAAATATTTTAAGTAACCAAGCGTCGCTGTGTTTAGTGAAGAACATATTTCAATAATTTTAAAAGATGTTAATAAGTTTAACAGTTTAAAATCATGTTGTCTTTAAAAACAAAAGAGTGAAGGAAGATGCAAGTCATATAATACTTAATGTAGCAAAAATTTTGCTTGCATGTATTGAACAAAAGTAAATAAAATTTCACAGGAAAGCTGAATTTCAAATATCAATATGTTACTTGTATAAATAATCTGTGTGTTTTGATAGTTATTTAATAGTACTTTAATGTTGTAATACCGACAAGGAATTGCTGTTTTAATCAAGAATCTTTGCCTTTTTCCTGTCTGCGTGTCAGCTAGTAGAACGAGCTCGAGACATTTTGTGGCATGCTTAATTATTTTCGTACAGTAAGAAAGGAATCTGTAGAAACATGACAGTTATAGGTTCCAGCAAATGTCGACACATTTTGTTACCCGCTGTGGGAGAATATACGGCATGTAAAACTGTCGAGATATCTTGTAATGATATGCAAGAGGGTGGTGCTCCGAATATAAAACAAGAAATTGTTCCACTTATCGCAGATTATCTTAGGATTGGCTGAGAAAAAGAAATGTTAACAGTTTGACATTGATTATTCTTGTATATAAAATAACAATTATGAATGAAAATAAAGCCTCTGTTAATTGTGCTTCGGATGTGGTAGCTATGATGGTATGTGGTAGTTTCAAAATTCGGAATGGTTATGTATAGGAAACACAGATACAAAATTTGGAAAGCTCAGGTGTATAAGAAACACTGGAAGTTACAAAAATTGGGAACACTCGGTGTATAAGAAACACCTAGTTACAAAATTGGGAAAACTACTGTGTAAGATAGGCACTGGTAATAACAAAATTGGGAAAACTGGTGTATAAGAAACACTGATAGATACAAAATTGGGAAAACTATTATGTATAAGAAACATCTGTACAAAATTTGGCAAAACTGTCAGAAGTCAGAAATCATCTTAAATTAATTCATTTAAGAAAATTTAATGATCATTTGATAAACATTGACTTGGAACATGAGAATTATTCTAGTTGAACATTTGTGTAATTGAGTTACATGCAAATTAAAATGAGACTTCCAGACAGTGGTAATTAATTGACAAAAAGTGCTTAGATGATTTATCTTTCCTTGAAGTCATTTTTTTTGTTTCTGCGCCGCTTCGCAATTTTACAGTGTGCAGTGCAACAGTATGCTTAGCACCCTTTCAATCAAATCTGCCAACAAATTGATACAATTTGTCACCTGAAATCAATCTTTGGGGGAGATGCATTATGGGAAGGGAGATCAAGTTTCACAATCAGAGCGCTACTTAGAGTATCAAATTACGACTTTCACTATAGGTGCGGTTCTTTTTGAAAGGCACAGGTTGATTATTTCCCTTTATAGGACAGTAGCATAAGGAGAGGACATGCTTAGTGACTTCTCAATAAGGCAAATTTCACCCAAATTACAGCTTTTTGTACTTAAAAGTAGGTTTCCTGGAGTGTTTGTGGTATAAAGGATCTCAAACTTGAATGGTTTTGAATAACAGTGAAAATATCAAAAAAGAAACCCAGGTTCACGGCTAAATTTTGGCAAATTATTATTTTCTCATTTGCGGTCTGGAATAAAAAAGCTTTTCAATAGTCTTTGTGTTTCGCCTTCCGTTAATTCAATAAAAAGAAATATTTTCAATTTTGTTAAGTGTAGTAATTTCATTATGGGGTACGCTGTTGAAACATCCCCCTTTTGATTTCCGTATAAAAGCAATTCTTCTGCTTATTTAAGTCACTGTAATTATGGCTTCAAGTAGAGTATGTACTTTTGTCCGAGGTTAACTTAATTAAACAAACCGAAATTGTTATTAACAAAACAGTATTGAAGGGTTGGTATATAGACTCGCAATGTCTGACAGTGTGAGATGTTTTGATATCATTGTAATAATTGACAAGTTCTACATACAAAATCTCAATGAAAATATGATGAGCACCGAAAAAGAAAATTCTTTTCAAATCATAATTTTATTATTCTTTAGAAAGCATGACATGGTGGCTGTTTAATTATATCAGTCAGTGCGACTTGCACCAATAGAAATTAAATTTAATATAAAATGTGTCCGAGCTAATTAAAAATGAAAGAATTTGTTTAAAAGTTCAACCCTAAAATATTTATCTTTTCTTGGTACAAATTGCTTTAACACATGCATTAGATGAATTGTTAATTAACAGACTAGCCCCCACGGCTATGCACTAATTTTCTGGAATCACACTCTGAAACATAACAAGCAAACAAAGGTGGTCTATGGAGTTGAGAGAATTTATTGTCAAAATAATGCTGTGTTAACAGAAAGGAAAAACATCAAGAAAAATATATAGGCATTATGGACAGACAGACAGAACAAAAACAACAATAGTATACATTCTTTGAGCTCCTGATTGTTTACAGTAAGTCATTACCTTGAAGCATAAAAAACAACTGTGAATATTTACAGCAACAAAATTTACGCAAAACAATTTGCTTCCCGAAGCGAGTTTCGCTTTTTCGCTTATTTCAACTGTAAATGAATCATTCATAGACCTTTTCTTCATATTTGTAATATAATTATATAAAGTGGTAAAGGAAATAATTTTTAATCAAATATAAATGGAATTCAGTTTTGACTTCCACTTTTAGATGTTGTGAGCAGAACAGAAATTAGATATGATTCTTGCAAAAAAAGATAAGAAAATTTAATTGTATCCATGTTGGAAATCATTTATCTGTATTAGATTACAGATGTCGGAAACCATCTTATATTATTTGTTTACGATTGATTGCAAGAGAAGTTACTGTGAGTGATGCTGTTGAAATTTGGTTAATAACAAGCTTCTCCAACAAGTTGCTAAACAATTTACTGTGCACATGGAAGTCATCATGGCTGGCTGATTAGCAAAACCTCCGTGGAGAAATTGTCAATTTTGACTGAGAAATTCATCTTTATTAGTGGCCAGCAATCATGAATAGGAGCCAAATTATCCCAGTTCAGATTCCATTTCACATTAATTGTGTTTATATTAGAGAGAATGTCATGAGAGTGCTGCATTTACTCTGGTGACAGTGCCTCTGCTTTTCAGTGAATGGAATTCGTCATCAATTTCTTGTCAAGTGCACATGATACATTTCTTTTACTAAAGATTACTTCTGAGGTTTCTTGTAGAAGCCAGGGAAATCTCTCTCTTAGAACATTTTTGATGCATCATCCTTTAGTTAAAACATTGATACTGTAAATTAAGTTCAACATTGGTTTTTATTGGAACTGTTAAAAAGTTGATTACGTTTCACAAGTATTAAATGAAGATTTATTATGAATGTATTGTAGGAAAAATAAAATTAATAATTTGATTGCTTTTATGTGTAGAATGTAATTTGATTAGAGCATAGTCAGATATTCAATGACAGCTTAAAACCTAAAGCTTTGACAGTTTGTAATAAATGAAAATTGCAGTCTGAAATATTTGGTATCACTAAAGAGCCTGATTGATATGTTAAGGTAAAACAGCACTTGACAAGTTAACCTTACTTCAAAGACAGTCCTTTCATTGAAATAATACCAATTGTCAATACATCTTGAACTGTGCTACAAATTTTTATCCAAGTTCTTTTAATTGAAAAAAGTCCTTTTATTGACCATGGTTTATAATTTACGAATATAAATCTGTCAATTTCACTTTTTACATTATTTCTTAAATCAGTTTCTATGGATACGAAATCTTAAGATCTTCTGGCAGAATGCTCATAATTATTTCCCTAACAGATTACATGTTAAGATTTATGATTTTCTGTTGTCCACTTGTCACAAACTTCAATTATCCTATTGTACAAGTAATCGGAAAATTATTCTGTTTTAACGTCAGGGGACGAGAGATGTGTCCGGGCGTAAGGCTTTGATGATTTGTCTCTGATTCGGTACTGTCGCGTCATTGGTTAGAAATCTGACCTGGCTGAAATGTCACGTTTGTGCTTTAATAATATCATTCTGCATTATTGTCGGCACCTCAAACGTATGAGCAATTTGATATCAGTTATATCCCCATGATGATTTTCAAATGTAGAAAGTTCAGTTAAAATTTCTAAATTCTAATTTAAGGAGATTTTTACTCTTTTGGAAACATTGAACTTTATTAAAAGTTATTTAAGAAAAAATTCTGTTTTAAATTTTAATTTGTTTGAATTTTGAGAATTTTGAATATATTAAAAAACAAAAATTTACTAAAATATGAAATGAACCTATTATTGTTATAATATCTGTAAGAAAATCTATTAAGTCAACCATGTTTTGACCCATGTGGTCATATTTAATTCAAGGTTTCAAGGTTTACATATCGCAGGATGCAAAATGCATTTAAAAGGCTCTATTCATGTACAGATTGGTATGGTTAAGTTTATGAAGTGAGTATGGTACTTCAGAAGCCTGGCGTAGATAATGGTCATGATTTAACCAGGGTTGAACCCGTTTAATGTTGTTTTATAAATGGTAATGCGAAAATGTTTTGACAGAAGTTTTATAAAGGCAGTGAGTCGGTAAAATTGACCATTTATGCGAAAAAATTTATTGTAAAGATGTTGAGCTGTGAAGACAATGATAATGGCACACACTGTGAACCTTTATTTTGACCATGGCAGAAATACGGTTTTGCAACTTTGTATATTGACCAAAAATTCCACACTAATTTTGATTTAAATTGAAATGCATGTACCATTATATAAATTATCATATATAAGTGTAAATTTATTTAATTCA